CTGGTGTCTGGAGCACCTCCTCCCCTTCTTCCCTGACCTTGGTGTCTGCAGAGTTGTTTTTCTCACATATTCCAAATCTTCTCTCTGTCTGCAATTGCACAGTTGGGTTTTTCTCCCCCTTCTTAAATATTTTACTACCATCACTGATGGGCTTGGCTTTGGCCAGTCCATCTTGGAGCTGGCTGGCATTGGCTCTTTCAGACATGGGGGAAGCTTCTGGCAGCTTTTCACAGAAGCCACCGCTGTAGCCCCCCCACTACCAAAACCTTGCCACGCAAACCCAATACAGAGGGGAACCTGAGTGAAGTAGGAGTATCATAAATTAATTTCAAAGTAATTGTAATTATTCTGTTGACTTTATCTGTGTTCTGTGTTATACCACTATATTAGTAATCCTGACATATTCTAGTAAAAAGAACATTATTAAATAAAAATCTATACATTAGGTGCCTTTGTTTTGTGCTTTTAGTGTGCCAGTGTTTCTCACATTTTTCTCTGTTGTCTCTAGCAATTGTGAGACACTTCCATTTTTAAAGGATGTGTTTATATAATCAGTTATAATAAGGAAATGCCCAAAGGAAAAGAGTAAGCATGAGATTTATAACATGATACAGTCATAAGAAGTTGCAATATGCATGTGTATATATTTATATACCCCTTTTGACAGTCCTTATAGATATACATATATCTGTAGATACCTAGACAGATGTATATAATTGTAAAGATTTGACAGAAAATAGTTTCTACATTCTTTACAATATTTTTGTTGTATTGTTTGCTTTATGTTCATATATTTTCTGTGAAATAGACATGTATTTTTATAGACGTCCATGATGAGCTTTGGAATTTGTCAGTCTTGATGTTGTGAGTGTAGATCTTCCTCAGAGGAGTAGAATGGTTTTGGTATGTGGCATAATCCCTAGACTTATATGAATACTTACACAAAAATCATCCAGGGCATCCTCTTTTCCCCTTTGTTATTGAAAAAAGAATTTCACCAAGATGCTTAAAGAAAATACCTCCCTGAAGCAAAAGAAGATGTTGCTGTCTAAGAGCCACCTTTCAGGAAACTTACTGGAACATGGTAATGGTTGAGTAGAATTTGCAATTCCAGCATCAAATAAACGAGAAAGGAAAATATTTAATTTTTAAAAACTTTCTCCTTTAGACAATATATTTCTCTCAATCTCCCCCCTGCACATTCATAGGATTCGGTCTAAGGCTGTTCATTAGCGTCCACAAGATGATTTTACCTTTTGAAACAGTTTGCAAAACAGAAAGTTTCTAACAGCTTGACTTCACAGCCCCTACTATGCTAAAAAGCATTTATGCCTTTGAGATGACTTGCATAAGGTCTGTTCTCAAAGAGTTTTAGATAGCTGTGGAGCTTTACTGATCTGTAGATTTTAATATTAACAGTTGGAGAGACATTGGGGAAAGTAAAGATTTGTAAAAATGTTTCCAAAAGCCAGTTAAATGTGAACTCTAAGGTTTGGGGCATAGGACCTAAATTTGGTTTATTTTTCATTGCAGTTCTGAAATGCCTGCTGCAATGTTTCTTGTTTGTTGGAAAAGAGATTGTAAATGTTTTTACACTTAGGTGCTAAATATAAGAGGTAAAGCACATCTTCTTAATTTGTAATTATATTCATTAGCGTTCTTGACACACAGTTTTGCTAGAAATCAAAATCATAAAAGTTTGTTTGTGGAATACCCAGAATATTGAAAGGAATCATGCAAGCAAGCCAGTCATCCAGCTTTCCTGGGTTACCTAGTTCTGTAGATTCTTAAGTTACTGGAATATCTTTGTATTTAGCCAAAGAACATCACAATCACTTAATTTAATTAATCTGTATGTGTTCATAAATATCCATTCTGCAAAGATAAGCACCACTTTCCCATCTAAAACATGTATTGTCAGCTTCATTCCAGTCAGCAGACACTTGAATGCTACAGCAGTTACCATATACAAATGCACTGGAAAATTGTGGTTAAGTGTGATTTATAAACCTTAGCTGATACCATACGGATTATCCTCTTAATTCATGGCGCTGTTCATTGTAAAGTTGTGACAGGTTAAGTCAGCAGAGTGCCTATTAATACTTTGGTGCTTAATGCTAACTTTTAAATGAAACTAATCAGTCTTTTTCTTTCTCTTTTTTTTTTCTTTTTTTTTTTTTTTTTTTAGATTTAAACACAATTTGTGTCAGTAAATACACACAACAATTATCAAATTGTAAGGGGAATTTTGTTTTGGCTTTATATTTAGTGCAGGGAAAGTCTCAGTTTTTCAATCTGTATTGGAATGAGCAGCCTACACTCCAGCATAATGAAGGGAACTGACTCTCTTTATAGATAGTTGAACATGTACCGATCGATGCCTAAAATAAGCCTACACAGAAGGAACTGTGGGTTAAAAAAAAAAAAAAAAAGAAGAAAAAAATTCTCTGTGAGAATTCTTAGACACATCTTGACAAAAGATTTAGACACTTTGACTTTCAGGGAGAAAGAATATATTAAATTGTACAGGTGGGCAGTTAAACCATTTTGGTGGTTTTAAGTATTTTATAGATCCATTACAAAATTAAATAAATCAATAAGAGAGGGACCTTACTCAGGTGAATGTAAATCATTTTCTTAAAGGGATTTATAGAAAGCTCCTGCCAGTTAGAACTTCAAGACTGTTAGCAGATTGTGCTCTGAATCTTTCATTTCCTCTATCAGTATAAATCAAGAATTATTTCAGTTGAAACAATGAAGCTACACTTTCATAAAGTGGTGATTCTGCAGTTTTAGCTGAGTTTCATGTTCTGTGTTTTACTTTTGGAAGTAGAACCTATGTAATAAAAGTTTTTCTGATCTATTTAATTGTATTATTTTTAAATGTGAAAAGCATTGAACATCTATTTTACTAGTCACATGTAGCTTCTTTTTTTAAAAAAAAAATTATTATGCCAGTTTTGCAATTTGTCCTCCTTTCTTTGACTTCTTTGCAGTAATTTTGTCTCGTGTCCCACTTCTTAGCAACGAGCCACATGCAGTTTTTCTTTCTGCTACCTTATATAAACAATGTTCTTATACCATTTCACTTTGTTCCACAAGGCCTAATTCTTCTCCAGTGAAGAGACTTGTATATTCATCTAAAAATATTACTTTTAAAATGTTTTACAGTGTATAAAAGTGCTGATGAAGAATAGCTATAATAGCTCAAGTAGGGCATAAAGACTGAGCTACGTCACTCTGTCTGAATGAGCGTCATCCAAGACATTCACGTTTAGGCACAAATCAGTGCATCTCAGTAGCCTTCAGTGGAGTTGGGTCAGTTTGTGTGATGGAAAATCTGAACCTGGGTAAATAGTCCTTTGTCCTTCTAAATGCTTTGTTGAATGTCTGGGCAAGTACAATGTGTATTTGAGTAAAAAAATTTAAAACCACTTTGCTAGTTCCAGCCACTTGTCTGGTAACCTGTCACGCAACAATAACCAGTAGCAAATGCCTAGGCAAGTGCTTTAAAATAGGGCAAATATGCAATGAGAATTTCCCAGTATAATCCTAATTTCATTAGTGGATTTAGTGAGTCAAAAGTGGTGTTACTGTGTTTAAGAGGTGTTTGTGGATTTCTCCTTCACAGATTTTTCAAATCACTTCCAAACCTGTGTAAGCTTCTGATATTCACAGCTTCCAGTTTCTGCAGTGTCAGTAATACAAGTGTACATAGCAGAGATCTCATGAGACACAATTTATTTAAAACAAGAACTTTTGTATTCCTCAAAGAGAAAATCGTCACAGTGATTTTCAGTGATTGCACACATCCTCGCTGGCATCCCAAGAGTTCCTGTGTTCTTCCTTGGACTAAGAATCACAGGTCGAGTCATGCCCGTATAAATTGAAATTCCCATCAGTTTTAATACCAACACAGCCTTTATCTTCATGACTGGGATACATTGCCATTATCCACTTACAGTAGATGAATGCTTACGGCTTCAGAGTTTAGAGCTCCCAAATTAGATTTTGGGACAGGAGGAAAATGTTGAGTGAGATGTAACTTCCCGGGACCAAACTGTGTTGGCAATCTGAATGCGTAGTTAAGAGTGCCAACCCCTGCTGCACACACAGACCATCAGTGCCCATTTGTAGAAAACCTCACAAATGCAGACATTACCTAAACGTGTCCTAATTCCCCTAAATAAGTAATTCTGATGTCAGAATCTCGTAAATGCTGGCTCTGCCGCAGATGCAGCTCACAAGTTCAGGCTGAGTGGAGGTAGAAATATAAGAAGGTTGTCCTTCTGTCCTCTTAGGACTAGCACCTGATACCTGTTGACACCGCTATGGCAAAAAGGACAGACATAAAGGGCTGGTAAAATTACAGCAGCCTGGTATCAGTTACAGTGCCAGATTACGCCTGAGCTGGTATCTTGTGTAGCAAAGCAGTGTGTTGAGTGTAACATCCCCAAACATACTTTGTGTCTTGGGTAGTGTACTCAGAATAGCCTTTGTACCGAGCCTTAGGAGAGGGGTCTTCAGTGGATACTTGGAGCTTGTTGCCTCAGCATCTCTCAGAGGATTTTTCCCAACAGAATTCAGAAGTTTAAGGTCCCATTTCCGCTTCTCTGACTCGTTATCTTGGCACAGAGAGCCAAATCAAGAGGGCCTTCATCAAAGACCTTTCTTCCTGTTAATCTTTAAAGTTATTATTTTTTTTTTACCTTTACATATGAATAAATACACATTGAAGATCTGAATGTTTCATTCACAGCAGTAAATCAAAAGCAACTGAACCCAGGCCAGTAAGTGCAAAAGGAATATCAGAGTCATGTTCGGAGGAAGAAAACCTGGTTATTTGTACTTTTTAAACAGGAAAAAATATCTATAAGATCTTATTACTCCCAGCACTATGCTTGAACCAGAAACCCATCTTCTCTGTTTGCTTACCATGACCGAACATGAGACAAGGTCATCCACAAATCAGTGAGTCCTGCTACCCCTCATGAGCCAAGATGGGAGCATTTGCCACCATTATTCCTGACCTCATGGGCCTTGGGCAATGGGGTGAGCACTCTTTGGACAGAATATAAAAAGAAATAAGTCTCACAGCCTCAGACAGAAAACTTTGGCTTTGAAAGAGGGAAGCAAAAGGGAACAAAACACATCTAATGATATCTTGTTTGTCTCCTTGACAAGCATAGAAAGATAACCATAAAACTGGTTAAAGCATGATCCTGCAACTGAGCTGCCTTGTTCTATGAATAAATCAACAATCTATGGAAACATGTTCAGCAGCTTCCTGGAAGCAGAACAGAACATTAAGGATTTTTTGCTTCATAAAGCAGCAGCTCAACCAGTAAAATTCAAACTATTTTGGGCACTGGCTGAAGATGTCAGTCAGTGTCACAAGAGTCATGCTGACTGTCAAGCTGATAAAGCTCAAGTGTATTTGGTATTTGTATATCATAGATTTACATAGAAAACAAAAATTTGACATAGATTTTGCCTTCTCTTTTGTGAGGATTTTCTCATTATTACTATATTCATTTAAATTAAATGTAATTAATTTAAATACACTATTTAAACATAAGAACCTGCTGTCATATACCATGGGCAAAAGGGATGACAATTTATTAAAATAAAAGTGAATTAAATTAAATTAAATTAAAAGAAAAGAAAAAAATCAGTTGCTCTCTAGATGATTAGCTGGTCAACCCTGACTTTACATGCAGGGCTTTATATGATGCATGGTTGTGTTTTGCCAGGGCAGTTTACACAAGTAGCTCAAGGGAAGAGCAAGGGCAGGGCCTGTAGTAATAGGAAAAGGGGAAATGGTTTTAAACTAATAGAAGGGAGATTCAGACTAGATATAAGGACAAAAATTTTTACAATGAAGGTGATGAAAAACACTGGAACAAATTGCCCAGGGAGGTGATAGAAACCCCATCCCTGGAAACATTCAAGATCAGGTTGGGTGGGGCTCTGAGCAACCTGATCTAATTGAAGATGTCCCTGCTCACTGCAGGGGGGTTGGACTAGATGACCTTGAAAAGTTCCTTCCAACTGAAACCATTCTATGATGATGATGAATTGCTGCATTCATTTGTTCTCACACACTCACACACAGCTTTTCTCTGACACCCATGCTAGCTATGATTCCTCAATCACTTCCTTCCCCAGATTAAATTTGCTATCCTTCCCCAATTTTACTACATATTTGTAGTGGAAAGAGGCAAGATCAAAACCACTGACAGCGCCTGGAGATGTGAGAAGGCGCATGGCTGTGGGTGTGCAGTGCAGGGGCTGTGGAAGCACAATAGGTGAATAGGAGAGGAAAGAAGGTGTGTGAACTCTTAACGTCTCTTGGCATTTATAAAGACTTTCCATAAGATTTACTGGGTCTATAAGTGTGTAATGCACCAAAAAAGTGAACCTTGCCCCTTTTTTTGTTGTTCATTGAAGCTATCACTCCTTGTCCATCAGACCTCCATGTGGAATTTAAAAAGTGGTGGGAGCTCTCACGCCCAAATCCTGCTTAGTTAGCATATGAATGCTCAGCTGATTGTTTGAAGTAACAATTAGGAGGACAATGGATAAAGGGGGAAACTGGAGACAGCAACTAACACCTGTGAATCAGAACTTAAACAGCTTTCTTTTACATAATTAGTTAAAGAAGCAGAAACAAAGCACATTGACTTGAAAATGTGGTCCAAAGACAATGCTGGTGCGTGTAAATCCCTTTTCAGTGCTGTTACTTACATGTAACGTTTGATATTTTTGTAAAAATCTTAGTCATGAGTGAATGTTGCCCAGTGTTGCAAGGAGGATTTCTTGGTGGGGAGGGAGAAAGGGAGGAGAAAAACATTTAAGGGCCATTGCAGTTTCATGGAGGAGACAGAAGTTTTGATGAAGTTATTAAAACATACAGACTTCAGATAGGTAGCAGAAAGTCATTGTAAGACATAGAATATTTCTAACCTTGCAAATAGCAATTATGATTTAACATCCTATAATCAACACTACATACTTTTCTGCATTAAAGAGAAAGAAATGGATGCTGTGAAACTGTTTCATTAAATTGTATTTATATGAGCAGAATTCTATGGCATTTTCTCAAGGAAGCAATCCATATGTGTGCTGAACATGCTCATACGCAACTATTTCTTAAATAGGTTATATTGTGCTTCTTGAGAACAGTATTTAATGAAGCTAGTTAACATTATGACTCTTGAAATGACAGTTGCTGTAGTGTTGCTAGAGTTGTACTGGCATAAAAAGGATGAGGGTGAAGGTTATTCAGTAGTCAGAATAAATCTATGAGTATTTATGCAGTTAGATGTTTCTCTCTAGAGAAATAGAATGTCACTAAAAAGTATCTAATATCTAGTCTCTCTGCATAAAGTTTATGGAGATACAAGTAACTTCGCAAACTTCAGCTGTAATATTGCTGATGCTAGTACAGTAAAATGACATTTTAGAGGGTTTTTTCACTCTTTTAAAATGGTATCACTAGTACAAAGTTAGAGAAAATATGTTAAGTCCTGACCACACTGAAGTGAAAGTTTAACTCGCATTGATTTCTAGGTAATCTAGATTTTTTTTCTAAATGATGTCACAGAAGATGGTTTCTTCAGGGAGGAGTTGTATTACCTTTAAAAGAGAAAGCATGGTTGTTTGGAAAAAGGAAAGGGGAAAAAGGAAAGGGGAAAAAGGAAAGGGGAAGGAGAGAAAGAAAAGAAAAAAAAGAAAGAAACAAAATACTGGGTGGAATATAAAGAAAATAGACATAATGTGAACATAAAGAAAGAAAACTGGGTAGAATAAAGCATTAGTCCTAATAGTATACATATGTGAAGTCTTTAGCTAAGGGTTAAAAATTGAATAACAAATTACAGTCAAATAAACTGGAAATAATTTCTGTTTGCTTTCTTTGTGTCCTTTATATGCTACAATGTTGATGGTATTTATATTCTGTTCAACCAGTATTTATAATTCGAGATCCAAGATAAGGACAAAGTGAATAATTAATTAGTAATTAAAACACTGATTATCTTGTTGGGAGGAGGGGGGATTGCCATCTACAGTTGATTTTCCTATTAGGGTTCTGGTTTTTATATTGTAAATTCATTGCTATTTTGCAGATTTGGTGTATGGATACTATAGGCAACAGCGGAAACTGATTGAAGAGATTGATTGGTCATATACAGGTAAGCAAAACTGTCTATTGAAGAACTTATGTCACTTTGATATTTTCATGTTCATTATTAGACCTTCAAAAGCCTGTTATGTCTGTACACCACTTTCCATATGCCTAAACAGTTGCTAAAATAAAAATGTAGAAAATGGAGTCTAAAAAATTGCAAGAACTTTACAACAGGAAAGACTATTTTAATTTCTTACATCTTTTACTTTGGGAAAGAGAAAGTTCACATCTTTAAAACCTTAACCCTGAACTTGATGAAGGCTGGGACAAGAAATTGTTAGGACCTCCTTTATCATCTGAATATTACCATTCTAGCAAGTTTGAAAAGCAAACAGAAAGGTTGAAACAAGGCGCAGCATGTTATGTGGGTAAGAACATATCCATATACTGCATATGAACTTCTGTACTTTGCTTCTGAGTACCTGAACACCCTTTCCTGTGCTCACCCTGATTCTCCTCAAAAATCAGTCATTTGGCCTCTCTCATTTGCATAAGTAAGAAAAGTATACCCTTAAATTCTGCACAACCTTTGCCTCATCAGAGAAGAACTATGGGAAATTCACAATTTGCCTCCTAGATTCTTCTGTAAAAGTCAAGCCACTTTCAGTAGTATTGAAAACATATTTTTGTCCTAAATGATAGGTATATGTTACCCAGAAGGTAAGAAGTGACTTCCTGAGGATATGTATAGATTCTTAAATTTTTAAAGAATTAAGTTACTGTTTCAAAAATCACCAACTTATGAAAAGAAATAAGGACTGTCAAATTTCAGTGTTTCAGATATTTGGTTCAAAATATGTTCCTGTAGTTAAAGAAAGTTACACCATTCTTTTTCTTTCTTTCCCTCTCTTTCTCATTTTCAAGACAGTTTTTATCTTCCAGGGTAAAACATATCTAACAAGTTTTGAGCCTAGAGAGAATTGAAACAGGCTAGTCATAAACCCTTCAAAATGAGATTTATAATGAAAACTCCCACTTACACACATTGTACTGCAAAATCCAAGCATAAGATCAATCAATACAATATTTCATGTTCAAAATCCATCTATTTTTTAATATTGCAGTTAGGGGAATGCGGGGATAAGCTTCCAGGATTACAAGTGACCAGAGGGCAATTTATGAGTTTACTTTAAAGAGCAGTGAGTGGGTTTTGCATAGGATATCAGTGGATAGAGCTCTTCCCTAGCCTGTACGCAGCACCCACACACTGTGCAACTGCTGCCACAGCTGCAAGTGACATTTACCTGATATTCTGGATGGCAAAACAGCACAGACAACTTGGGGAGCCAGAGGACTCAGACCTGTTGGTTCTCTCCCTTACATGTGGGATACATTTGTGTAGTCATCTCACTTCATACGCCTTGCTCTAGTGCCTTCACTGTTGGGAAAGCCTTTCTACCTGTTCAGACCTATATAATCAGCTGCATGAGGCGCATGAGCTGGCCAGGTGTGAGAGGAGCCCTGCTGAGCAGTGTGTGCCCTGACTGGCAGCCCCTTGCCCCAGCAGCACCCTGCCCCAGCATCCCCCAGCCCCTGGTCCTGCCACGGCACCAAGCTCTCTGCCGCGGGCTCAGCAAGCCCCCAGCGCTCATGGCACAGCAGTCTGAGGCATGGTCAGACATGAATTTTCATAGCTTTATGGTAGGTCTGTATGTATATCCATATTGGTTCATGGCATGAAGGGAATACACAAATGAAGCTTTCACTTAAATAACCTCAGTCTTCCTGAATATGAAGAAAAAGTACAGATTTTAACATTGTGTGTTGGAGGCACAGAAGTCTAGAGGCTGAGGTATATTGATTTTTGATCTGATTTATTTATAATTTATTATAATAATATTTTATTATAATTTGTAGTATTATTATTATTTATTGATTGATTTTAATCTCATAATTTTATTCCTGGGGCAAGCGATATCGAGTACTGTATGTATAACTACTATACCTAGCTCAGACTTATGGTTTTGAGGCATATGAGGCCTCATGCACATTTCTGAGTAGATGAGCAATGCTTTGTCAGTTCATCCTTCTGTCTTATTACCTGCTCACTGAAAGACCTCAAAAAATTAGCCTCTGTGTACTAATGGAGTGTTAGAAGGGGACCTTGGGATCCTGCAAGCATGGAGTTTAATCCACCATAACTAAGGAAAATCTAACTGGTTCGTTAAGCTAATCTGAGTTTGACCAGATGTAATTCTCTATATCAAATAAGAAATTTCAAATACATTAGCCACAGTGGGTCAACACAGTTCTTTACTGAGATGGTGCTGTGAGATGAAAGTAAAATGGGACTAGAGAAATAACTTGAATCTTACCTGCTGAAATAATGCAATTTCTGAAGGTGAGGTTTTATAATAAAGTAACTTTGCATACTGTAATTTATGTGACTCATCATCAGATTTTGACTCTTGGGTAAATGTTTAATGAACTCATAAATGTTACTAGAAACATTTTGTAGTACTTCTAAGGGCTCTGCTTTAAGCCATAGACAAATCTTGCATTTGCAAGCATGGGGGTTTTTTGTGTGTATGTTCTGACTTTGCATATATTTGCATGAACAAATATAGTATTAAAGAAGTAGAAAGTGCGAGATGCGTCTTTTTTTCAGGAATAAGTGGTTCTTGAAGCTAATTCATTAGTAGAATTACTGAATTTTAACAAACTTTAATTGTATTTTTCATTAAAACAGTGATAGAAATAAAAATTTTGTAACAACATTAATACTTTCAAATTATATCGTATACCAAAAGAGAATCCAACCATTTTTGTGCAGGAAAAGCAAGTCTGCTGAGAAATTTTATTTCCTCAAATCGGTTACATACTAATTGATGACGAGAGATCATTTAGGTATTATTTAGCTACACTACTAAGGTTAGGCAGTCTCATATTATTTCAAACCATAAAGTGACCAATATAAGCTTCCAGTATTTCTCTGTCATACAGATGAAGGATTAATTTTTATTGCTGCTTTGTTTATCTGCATTGTTTTTTGGCAGAAGGAATGATATAATGCTGGTTTGTGTTGGGTTTTGGGTTTTTTTAACATGACTAGTTGATAGCAGTGTGAAAAGTCCCAAGTCTGAATGTTCACATGTAGAATTATCAAATGATACCACAAAAAAAAAAAATTTTTAAACTAAATTTCTTTCTGTAGGGTTTTTTACTCTTGGGATTTGGGTTCTTGTTCAAGAGCAAGACAAGCTATGTGGTTTAGGGGAAAAAAACAGACCTGAATTCTGCTAAAAGCAAGAAATTCTAAACAGCCTTCCAGGAATTACAAAAACTGAGGGATTTTTAAAATTGAATTTATTATGTAAATGAACAGCACAGCCAGTTCAGTGTTCTTTGTCTCATCATTCAGGGTTATTAAGTTCAGTTTGTGCTGCCATTCATTATGCAATACCCTGATACAGAAGTGCCTTATAAATACTGGCAACTCTGATCTTGAGCAGAGGGCAATTTTAGTACAAATTCTTCAGTCTCTGGGTATTCAAAGAGCAATTTTGTTGTTTGCAAGCAGAATGTGAATCATATTTCCCTTTTCTCTGGGGGCAAGATTCATGAATCACAGTATAACATAGGTTTGATGGCGCCCTTGGAGATCATCTGGTCCAAACCCCTGCTCAAAGCAGAGTAACCTGCAAAGCTGAAGCAGATTGTTCAGACCTTGTCCAGCAGATTTTTGAAAATCTCCAAGTATGGAGATGCTGCAGCCTGGGTCATGGATTCTACTGTCATTTTGAATTATTTTTCTTTTATTTACACAACTGCAATTTTTCTTGTTGCAACTCATAACCATTGCCTTTCACTCCTTCCTTGTGCACTGTACTTTGCCTTTACACAGCAGTAGACCTCAGCTAGGTTCCTCCTCTCTTCTCAAGCCTCAGCAAACACAAGTGCTTCAGCCTCCCCTTGTACAACTAGTGCTCCAACCCAGTGGCCTGTAGTTTGTTAATACCCATCTTGTACTGGGTTAGGAAGTAGAAACTGAACTCCACATTCTTGCTGTCACCTCACTCATGCAGTAGAGGGAAATAATCACTTCCCTTGTCCTGCAGGCTGCACCTTTGCTAATGTAACCCTGTACTTTCTTAGTCTTCCTGGCTGCAAGAACACAGTGCTGACATACACAACTCATTGTCTACGAGGATAATTAATTATGATCTTTTCAGATAATTTTTATTATCTGCTGTATCTCAGTAGTAAAACTTGGCAGTACATTGATGATGCTTTTCTGGCCCTTACACCAATACTTTCCACAATAGCAACAGCTAAACATAATGGCTTGTTGGTTTTCCTCCCATGTTGAACATTGAACTAATCTTGTTAAGCTTAAAATTGTTATCATTCAGTGCTTGATTCAACACCTCCTGGAGATATCCCTATAGTTCATCATTCCCCATTACTATGACTACACAGACAAAACCTCAGTTGTCAGTTGAAAGACTGTTTTTGCCACCCCAGGTCCTGGAAATCTGCACTGATGGCTTCAAGTGTTGATGCCTGTAGTTTGGCTGAGAAATGAAAATTGCCTTCTTTTCAGTGGTAGTGACAAAACGTTCTCTTTCTTGCCTAAACAAGATCTAATGTTTTAATTTTACAGAACACCATTTCAAATGTTGTTCTATCATCTTTCAGTACTGAGGAGATTCTACTGCAGAGTCGCTGCTCATAAAGTTTGTGGGAAAGTAGGTTGTTGCTTTTATCAATAATAATTTACAGGAGTATTTTGCTTTTTGTTCAGACTAAAAAGCGAGCAAGCATCTTCACTATCTTAGCTGTGACTCAAGAAAAATGATTTTGACATTGGTAGCTAATTCTGCTTATTTTGTGAAACATCTCCTGCTTCTATTACCCCACAATTTGATCCTGGTAAACTGGTAAGTTCCAGGCTGTCCTCTTGTCCTCTCCCTGCCCTGCTATTCAGCAGTGATCTACTGGGAAGATGAACGAGGCGAGGCATACAGATGTTGCCTTCTGTCCTGCAGCTGCAGAGAAGCATCT